CAAACCTGTAGTATGTGGGAGCAACCTCCTAGGTTGGCACCTCCTGTACTGCATCGGAAGGCAACACAGAGCTGACGATAGATTCATGCTAGGACTGCGCTGCCCTAGCTGTACGCTCCTATATTCTCCCATGGTTGGCTTAGTATGTTGAGGAATGCCCAGTTGATGGTGTTACCCGATGTGTCGAGGAACATGAAGGCGCCTAAGAAGTGCCACAGCCACACCCTAGCATACCTCTCGATCTCCTGCTCTAGAGCGTCTGGGTGCAGCGGCGCCCCGAAGTTTTATGTTATCTAGACCAAACTGACACCGGATGTTTTCCTAAAATTTTTGAAGAATAATTACATGAGAGCCGAGGGAACAAAAATAAACATTAAATTAGACAAATACAATACGCATCATAAAAGTTATGTACTACACCCTCCATTTAAATAGCAAAATAATTTGTAGAATATGTAGATCAACGACAGACTTAGACCATAACATATATTTGTGATATAAAAGACCAACCAAAGACTTGCATGTGCTGGTCTCAAAATGGTAAATGTTTGCAACGTATAAATTCTTACTTTGCTCTCTTAGCATCCTCGTCCTCGGGTGGTCTTCTACCACAGAACTGCTCCACCAAGTCCATCCAGTGATCGTTATCAAGGATTCCAGTCACTGGAAGACCCCACAACCGTAGACACAGAATCATCTTCACGTCCTGCATTGTGATAGTCATCTCACTGCAAGGAAGGTGGAAGGTGTGGGTCTCTTGCCTCCACCTATGGGTTTTTAATTCAATATAAGAAGTTTTTAATTCAAATAATGAAACAAATCAATGCTTTATACTTTACCAAACGTGTATCAAATCATACCTATCGACAACAGCAGTGAGAAGTGCAGGGTCGAGGATTGATAGCCTAGTGTTGAAGACCAGGATGATCTCAAGGAAGCCAGCACGTTGTATCCACTGCCGATATCGCTCATCCCAGTGGTGTGGCTGGTGCGTGCATAGTCTAAGAGGTAGCAAGTCCTCCTAAAGCTTCGATAGGTGCTTGGCTCGGTGGTCCTTGTCGTAGTGCACCTCAAGAATGGGGTACTGCGGATGATGATCCCCATCCTAGTTCAAATTTCAAATGGATGTGTTAGAACAAACATTAAGACTACTATAATATGATGGAACATTAGTGCATAAAAACAAAGTAAATGTAAATGGAATAAACTATTATGCAAAATGAGAGAATAAACATATATCATAATTGGTACTAACATAGTAGTTTTAAATAGCATAGCAAACAATTAACATTAATATAATAAAATGTATGCTATATGCACCTGCTGCCCTTGTCTTCTATGCCTGCTAGCCTTATGACCAGGTTCTTTGCCACGGGTCTTGTTGAAGTCTCCCCCTCCGTACATGTCTTCGCCGTACCCTCTCATAGCGTCCATGTCCCCCTTGAGTCGCTTCTTCTTCCTTCTACCCTTGCCTATCTTCATTAGATCCGGAAGCGGCATGTAGTCATAATCATGATAAGATGGCCACTATGTCGAGTCAAGGTATGGCTCGAAGCTCCTCTCCAAAATACTAACAGTGTTTGAACGGAGATACAAAGGTGACATATATGTCAGATTCTCAAAGTTATACCCGCGAACCCTACAGGCCGTGATCATATGAGAGCAAGGGGCATGCATGATCTGAGGGACGTTGCAACTGCACTCTACTTTGTCAAGATCAACCTGGTAGTTTCGTCCACCATAATGTTCACCGCCCAAGCTTGTGCCACCCTTGCCCCGTACACTAAAGATATGGCGGCGGGGTTCATACGGCTCGACGGTGTGCTGCTTGGCCAATTCCTTGGCCTCCTTCAAATATTTTGCTCTGGCCTTTCCAAATTGCCCCTGCTCAGCTATATTCCTCTGCGCAAGTTCCCACATCTTGATAAAATATTCGTTGCACTTATGAAAGGAGAACTCAACAATTCCAGACACAGGCAACGAACGAACTCCGGTGAATACACGGTTGAAAGACTCTGAGGAGTTAGTGGTCATGATGCAATACCTAAACCCCCCCTCATCATATGCTAACGCCCACTTAGCCTTCTGTTCCATCTGTGCCTCTAACCAGGCCTTGCCCGCTTTCATTTAGCATCTTATCTAATTCTCTTTTTGATTGCTTGAACTGGTGCTCTGTATGTACACAACATAGAGCCTTTACCTTGACACATACCTTCTTTTTCCTCTGACGTCGTCAGAAATTAGCGGTAAAGTGTCTCATGCACCATCTATGCACTAGAGGCGGGAACCCATCTATATGCTCAGCTATAGCATTAAGAAGCCCTGGGTGATGGTCCGAGATCAAACATATAGTGCGAGATGGGCCAAGCACTTGTACACGTAGAAGCCGCATGAACCATGACCATGATTCATTGTTCTCTCCCTCTACCAAAGCAAAAGCCATGGGTACTATCTGGTCCTCCGGATCAACATCAGCAATCATCATCAAGGTGCCCCTGTACTTTCTTGTCAGGAAAGTGCCATCAACAAGCACGACTGGCCGACAAGCACGCCAAGCCTTTCCGTACTTCACATCATACTTAACGAATCTAAATATGGACTGTTGTAATGAAGACACCGAAATGTCGTTATTGTCATCAACGAGCCCCAATATAACGATGGGCAAGGTAACGTGCAGTGAGCTACTGATGATTTTCCTTCCCCCTATTTGATAGGCAAGTGTGGGGTTCGACCACTTTACTTATACTCAACTTGCCATCGCTCTATCTCTTTAGTGCATTTAACCTCTATATACAACTATTTTTGCATATCACGTGGTACCTCAACTCTTAGTCCGAATGAGTGACGTTGTACGGCCTATGGTGATACACAACATAGTCCTAAAGAAAGAGCTTCATCTCTGATATTGTATTGAATATCATCCCCTTACTAAGGATTTTTTCTCATGGTCATACAATGATTTTCTACACATCTAGAGACCGGTGTCACAAACTGTCATATCCATCATGCCGACATCCCTATAGTTCGGAACGCCCCTAAAAGGTACATTCATCGACCTTAGTTACTCAAGCTCTATCGTTGTGTAAGGTGGTGGTGGAACATACTGCTGTGCTTCGCTAATTCTACCCCATAAATCATAGTGGGTATCATATGCTGGCAAATCTATGACTAGTCTATCTTGAGCCACATAGCATGCAAAACCTCAATTGGTACTGGTAATGGCATACCATGAACAGATACTGGCATGGCATCAATCGGTGTGGGCATAGCATGTCTATCTCCCTGGTCATCATCTGAATCACTGCTAACTACATCAACGATCCTGTCCTCCTCCTCGTGCTCCTCCTCTTCCCGTTCGAACTCGTTCACATCGAAGTCATTGCTTATACAACCTACTTGACTTGAATAAAATTGCTCCTGCATCAACTGACCATCCAAATCCATAGTACCCATAGTTGGTTCCACATAAACCCCACATTCTTGTTGAGTATCATCATCGAAGGACGGCCCCTCCTAGAGATCATGCATCATGTACCCATTCTCCACAACCATCTCAGCTAAGGCCACATTAGAATCTTGGATTACCCTATTGTAGCGGGACCAATGAGCATGGTCCCATAAGGGCATCAACACGTAGTGTGCCCTAGTCTTTCCACTATCAAACCTCCCATTTAGTGTATAATCACCGTCAAATTTTCTATTCAAACGACCATAAAGATCGCTGAAGGTAGGAGGTTCATCAAACCATTCTAATTCTTCTTCCATATCCTCAAACATACCATCTTCTCCCCTAACGCTTACTCGGTAGAAAACTCTAACACAACAATCCATCTACAAAAGCATTTCAAGAAACTTCATCAAGTCATCGAAATCATCGTGCCTACTAACTAATCTAGTATTCATACCTATACTAACTAAGAAAACTAACTAATCTAATATTAATACCTATAACAACAATTATAACTAACTATACTAAATACACTAACTAATATTAGTACCTATACTAATTATACTAACTAACTGTATTAACCAACTATACTAACTAACTTCACTAACTATACCTATATAGCTAACTTTACTAACTTCATTGACTAATTTTGAATCCTAACCCTAGCTAACAACAATTCTATTGAAGCAACAAATGCACGAGAGGATTACCTCGACAAACCACAACGAGAATGACTGGCTGGTGGCAAGAGGATCACCCCAATCCACCTAAGGCGATGAGCTGGCCACCGGCGGCAATGGCCGGCCGTCGACGGGCTTCTTATGCGTCCAAAGTTGGAGGAGGGTTAAGGACATGGGGTGGCAGGGGAGGAAGAGGATGGGGAGAGAGGGAGGCCGCGCCACAGGGAAGTGGCGGCCGCGCCGGCGACGGGGAGGGGCGACGGCGCAGTGGGGACAGGGAGGGATTGAGAGAGGTAGACAAGGGAGAGAGGGAGCCGGTGGGGGAGGCGTGGCGGCGGGGGCTGTGCGGCGCGGAGTGCAACAGAGAGGGAGAAAAGGGACTAGGTCGCGGGCCTCTATTTCGCTCTGCCGCGCCCTGACGGGTGGCACGCCACAGTCGCGCCCTGATCGGTGGCGCGGCAAGGTCTGCCACGTCAGCGACCAGCGGACCAGGACGTCGCCACGTACGCACCCCTGCCGCGCCGTTGTTTCGCCACGTCCTGAAAATAGACGCGGCCAAAAGTGTTAGTTTAAAAAAATATGAGATTTAAAAATAGTTAAAAAATGTTAGAAATAAAAAAAACTCGCTTTGGATGAGGACCCAACCAATCCTACGTAACCCCCCCCCCGAAGCAACCCCCCCTTTTTCTTCCACTCCAAGCCGAAGCAACCGACGCGTCCCACTAAGACAGGACCAGCCCACCCTTCCGACCCCACCCGCTGACATACGATACCGGCGCCGCGCACACAGCCCGCACCAGCGCCCAAATCCCGCAAAACCCTAAGCCGAGGGGGGAGAGAGCGCGAGGGGAGAGAGAGAGGAGGCGCGCGGCATGGCGGGTGCGACGTCCCCGGCGGCGGCCGCGAATCTGGCGGGCAAGTCGGGCGTGCGGGTCGTCGTGATCGGCGACCCCGGCACCGGCAAGTCCAGCCTCATCGTCGCCCTCGCCACCGAGCAGTTCCCCGAGAACGTGCCCCGCGTCATGCCCCCGACCCGTCTCCCCGCCGACTACTTCCCCGACCGCGTCCCCATCACCATCATCGACACGTCGTCCAGGTACTCCCGCGCATCTCGGATTCGTTAGATCTTGATGGGAAGGATGGGTACCTGGCGTTGAGTTGATTTTGCGCGTACCTGTCATTGCAGCCCGGAGCAGAAGCCGAAGTTGATCGCGGAGTGCCAGGCCGCCGATGCGGTCGTGCTCACCTACGCCTGCGACCGGCCCGCCACGCTGGAGCGGCTCAGTTCGTTCTGGCTTCCCGAGCTCCGGCGACTCCAGGTATTGCCGCGATTCTCGATACGGCGTGGCGGGGTTTCGTGGTGTAGGTCTAGATCGCTTGCGTTTGATTCTCTTGGGTTTCCCCATTGTGATTTGTCTTGTCTGATTTGTGTGATGCAGTTGAAGGCTCCAGTTATTGTGGTGGGGTGCAAGCTGGACCTGAGGGACGAACAGCAGGTTAGCCTTGAGCAGGTTATGGCGCCCATCATGCAGTCCTTCCGCGAGATTGAGACCTGCATTGAGTGCTCCGCTCTTCGGCAGATCCAGGTTACCCCGCATCTTATTATACTTGATTTGGTATTTGTACCCCCCAAATGTCTCATACTTACCTTAGTGATATCTGAACTTTTGTCAGACACATTAGAATAAGGCTTGTAGTGTTCCAGACATGAACAGTATGTGTCTAGCTAGTGTGTTAAAATTATTGGCATTTGGAAGTTCTTCTGATTAATAATTATGGATGTTGACTTTATTTTTTGGCAGGTGCCTGAGGTCTTCTACTATGCCCAGAAGGCAGTACTTCACCCGACTGCCCCGCTCTTTGATCAAGAGTTACAATCTCTGAAGCCTCGATGTGTGAGAGCGTTGAAGCGGATATTTATTATATGTGATAATGACAAGGATGGTGCTCTCAGTGATGTGGAGCTCAATGAATTCCAGGTTTGTGTTCATGAAGGCTACCCTTCTTTCCATCTGGCAGCATACAACATAACTACTTAATCATATACTCTTTTGTTTCTAGTGTTGCTGAGATTCTTTTTCTTACTGCTTTACAGGTCCGATGCTTTAGTGCTCCTCTGCAGCCTACTGAAATTTCAGGAGTTAAGAGAGTTGTTCAGGAGAAGATGCCTGAAGGAGTAAATGAAAGTGGTCTTACCTTGACCGGGTTCCTTTTTCTGCATGCCCTCTTTATTGAAAAAGGTCGTTTGGAGACTACATGGACTGTATTGAGGAAATTTGGTTACGACAATGACATCAAGCTTAGGGATGATCTCATTGCAATGCCAATTAAAAGAGCTCCTGATCAAGTATGCTTGTTTTGCTTTATGATTGATATACAAATATTTCAATGTCAATATTACTTATTTATCTATGTCTTTGTCCTGTTCCAATCTATCCATTTTGATATCCATCATTGTACTTCCAATGGATTCAGGGATTGTAAACACTAATCTAGTGTACCAGTGTGTTTTTATGTTAAAACTGAATTTGTACTACTTTTGGTGCTTGTTAAAGCCGTTTATGGTTAGTAGTTTTTGCTGATTTTGCTGTTGTGGTATTATTATATATGTAGTTCACAGCCTTGCACACTTATGTCATTAGCACCAATACTTTTATTATTGCTTCGTAGTGTTCTGGAACTTCTATTAGTAGCTTCATGCAGGAATATAATATCTTTATTGATGGAACGTTGGTGAAGTAATAAAGTCAGCTTTTTTCTGCAGACTCTGGAAATGACAAGCGAAGTGGTCAATTTCTTGAGAGGGATATTCAACATGTTTGACATTGATAACGTAAGAAGAATGTACAAATTTGTTTTTGTTAAAAGTAATCTTACCCTGATATGCAATTGGTATTCATGAGATGCGACTTTGGCGGAGTTATACAGGAGGAGGGAGATGTGAGTTTGGAAGGTTAAGTAGTGCCTAAAAAGGATACCTTTCGGTATCTGAGATCGATGCTACAGAGGGATGGAGATATTGATGCGAACGTTAGCCATAGAATCAAAGCAGGGTGGATCAAGTGGCGGCAAGCTTTTGGCATTCTCTGTGACAAGAGGGTACCACAAAAGCTAAAAGGCAAGTTCTATAGAACAGCGATTAGACTGGCTATGTTGTATGGAGCAGAATGTTGGCCTACAAAGATTCGACATGTTCAACAACTGAGTGTTGCAGAAATGCGTATGTTGTGATGGATTTGCAGTCACACAAGAATGGACCGAGTTCGGAACAATGATATACGTGATCGCCTAGAGGTAGCACCAATTGAAGAAAAGCTTGTCCAACATCGGTTGAGGTGGTTTGGCCATGTCCAAAGGAGACCTCTAGAGACACCAGTGCATTGTGGAGTCCTAAGCCAAGCTAATAATATGAGGAGAGGTAGAGGAAGACCGAAATTGACATGGGGGGAGGCAATAAAAAGAGATTTGAAAGCTTGTGATATACCTAGAGATCTATGTTTGAATAGGAGTACTTGGAAAGCAGCTATTGAAGTGCCTGAACCGTGACTTGGGGCTCTTGGTGGGTTTCAACTCTAGCCTACCCCAACTTGCTTGGGACTGAAAGGCTATGTTGTTGTTGTTGTTGTTGTTTATGCAATTGGTATTCAATGATAATGAATCGCTATTATGCAGTTTAATTAATTATAAACATATATCATTTGAAGTTATATTGTATTGGATTTTTTTATTATAGGATATCGTATTGGATTGATCTCTCAACACTTTTTTATGTGTATCCAGGATGGGGCTTTACTACCTACTGAGCTGGAGGACCTTTTCTCAACAGCACCTGAAAAGTAAGATGTTAGATGAATCAATCATTCTGCATATATATTGGAACCATACTTGTAGTACATTTGAATATTTGATAATGCTCGTCTATATGGAAAGTGTTGGAAAATCCTGTGTTAATTCCTCTAATCTATTGATAGTACGTGTTGTTTTTTATTCAGGCTTTGTGACAGATATATTCATTCTTCCCAATTTTCCTTTGCATCACCTTTTCTTTTTGTGTGGCATATTTCAGCCCATGGTCTTCCGATCCATACAAAGACTGCGCTGAAAAGAATGTGTTGGGTGGTCTGTCACTTGAAGGGTTTCTCTCAAAGGTATATTGTCTCATCCTTAGCATATGATGCACAACTGATAAACTGGTGGTTAAATGGGGATCTTATTTGAGAACAAACATATTTGTTGTGGATCCAAAAACAACCTACTTCTATTATGTTTCTTTGGTGCATTCTTATGCACCATTTACTCAGCTGCCTTTGTTGCTTTGAGAAGGACCAAACAAATCTTGTGTCTATGTGGTGAATAACTTGACATGTTCAATATGCATGCTGCTGATGTAATTAAATTATTTGCTAAACATTTCAGAAAAATATGTAAGCTAAAGCATAATCAGTCAAATTCTAAGTTGAAGCGGTGTGCTCTGTTAATGGTGATATTTCTTGAAAGAGCAAAGTATGAAAATCATGTGCTACAGAATGCTGGCAGCATGGCAATGCATTTTTCTGTTAATACGTTATTTTATATCATGCTATATTGCATTATATTTTGTTATTACTGAATAAGGATTTTGCGATGTAGTGGGCTCTAATGACACTTCTGGATCCAACAAATAGTTATGCCAACCTTGTATATGTTGGTTATCCTAGCGAGTTCAGTTCTGCATTTACTGTCACAAGGAAAAGACGAGTGGATCGTAAAAAGCAACAGACACAGAGAAGTGTTTTCCAGTGTTATGTTTTCGGCGCCAGAGGCTCTGGAAAGACGTCGTTGCTACAATCATTCATTGGAAGGTGTGCCATACATTTCCTGATAAACATTTTTTTTTTCATTTGGCCGTCTTTAATTCACTTGGTCCTTGTAACAGGCAACCTTCTGACGCTCTGCCATCTAACAGTGAACGCTTTGCAACAAATTCTGTCGAAATGGCTGATGTAAGTGTTATGTTGATGCCCTATTTTTTTTTTGCACCACGGATGTGTTATATGTTGATGCTGTATGCTGATGTATAATTTCTGTTTTCAACAACTTGAATCCCATCAATCCCTCCGGTCCAATGTATAAGGCATACCCTGATGGCCTCCTAAATTACACTTTGACCATCCATTTATTTTATATTATATTGTTTATGATTATTAGATAGCACATTTGATTACAAGTCTAATAGTATCAAGTTTGTATTACAATAGTTAAAAGTTGTTGGCCAAATTATTGGTAAAAAAATTATAAAGTTTGATTCTTGACATTCGTGAAATGCCTTATAAACTGGACTGGAGGAAGTATCAGTGAAGACAAAATTCCTATACCAGCCATATTCACTGTTGATGCAAAAAAAAAACCAGCAGCATGTCTTTATGAATTGTTGAATGCACGTTCTGATTGTAGTAGTATTGTCAACTATATTATCTCCTTGATATAATCTATATCATTTTAACGGATTATTTATCTGTGTAGACTTAAAGGCTTTGTTGTTGTATTTATCTGTGTAGACTAATTCTGTTCTCTGTGTAGACTATTACTGTTCTATCTGCTTCCTCATTTTCCGCAAGTACTATCGATTTTTCTAGTTGAGTCATTGAGTGGGTTGTTAGGCATAGTCTGATTCAAATTTTTTTGAAGGGAACTAGAAAGACGCTAATTCTGCGAGAGATTCCTGAAGGTGATGTGAGATCGTTGCTTTCTGACAAGGAATCATTGGCGCCATGTGATGTAGCAGTATTTGTTTATGATAGGTACACACTCCTCTAGACTATTCTTTTATTTATTCATAATCTGCAAGTCTCACAATAAAGGTTATAGTGACTGATTGTTCTCCCTATTTGTGTATCAGTTAATTTAATTGACAAAACCTTCATCATAAGTTAATCACATATATTTTCTTCCAATTTCATGTTTGTGCTAACCTGATATAAACCATTTGTGTTAACATGGTTAGATATATAATGAGTAAAAGAAGTTTGGGTTTAACATAATGCATTAAGCAAGGTTTAGTTTCGTTACTACAGTATCTGCTTGTGCACCTTTTCTGTTTGGTGGCTTATTTCATGGTATTGGGCTGAGATTGTGTGTTTCATGACCCAGCTTGGCAAGGAAACTGAAGTTTTCTTTCAGTTTGTCATTATCTCGACAAAGTTACTTGACTTAGGCACTTAAGCAACATCTTTTTATCCATACCAATTTATTGTTTCAAGTGGATTCTCAGTCGAACTGACCTTTTTCTGACCCCTAGTTATAGTTAAATCCCTGGTTATGTGAGCCACACTTCTGACAGTAGGTGGTGGAGATCACAATTGACAAGCATTGAAACTCTTTTCACAGTAATTATTGTCGCTCTTGTAGTCTATTGTAGAATGAAACACACAACCTGGAAGAGCTTTTAGGAGGTCGACAAGTAAATCTTGTTTATACTGTTATATCTTCTTTTGAAGCCTGTGATCTGGATCGACATAAATGTACTCACTATGCATGTATCACAAAATAGCCTCTGAACCTGTTGTATTGGCAGCTGCGATGAATATTCTTGGCAAAGGGCTAGAGACTTGCTTGTGCAAGTGGCTACACATGGAGAAAATACTGGCTATGAAGTTCCTTGCTTGATAGTTGCTGCGAAAGATGATCTTGACCAATCTTCACAAGCTCTACAAGAATCAACTAGAGTAAGTTTTTTAGCATTTAATTGTGTAGGCATAGTGGAACCAAGATAAGATATCAGGATGAGTTTCCAATCAAATTTAATCATACGTTGTTGCTGTATTACCTCATAATTTTGTCCCAGGTTTTGTGGCTCCAAGTGTTCTCATAGGTTTTGTCTTGCCAAAAAAGTTATGAATCGTAGAAAAACGAAACAAAATGAAAACTAAAATTGGATAAGGTATTGTGCTAGTTCAATCCTGCAGCCACCATTGGGTAGTATGAAGTGGAGAGAAGTGCAGAACAGCTTATTGGTTGAAATGCTTCGCTAACATTATTTGTATTTGTTGAATTATTTCTTTAGTAAGGTCGTTTTCTGTCGTTTTATAAAAGCTAGTTTATGAAGGGATGCTAGGTTGATCAATGAGTCCGCATATAGTCCATCATAGAAGAACAGGTTTGTACGCAACCCACTTAGAATGCGGGTTTGAGGACCAACCCTCTTAAAATGGCATATATCTGGATATGCATATACATGGACCAACCCACTTGCATCCCTAAATTAATCTCTTACTACACTGGTGCAAATACTATGCAAAAGGTGCTTCACTTTTCTCTTGTCCATGCTTCTCTGTAGTATCGGTAGAAGACCTACTTATCTAGGTGAAGGATTAACTTACTATTTGTTGACAATCGTGAATTATTGTGACCATAGAATGAAAGTCCTCTTATTTATTTGCCAGAAGAAGTAACTGTGAAAACATCTACTTTCCAGGTGAGCCAAGACATGGGAATTGAAACACCAATTCCGATCAGCGTGAAGCTGAGAGATTTGAACAACATTTTCTGCAGAATTGTATATGCTGCGCAGCAGCCCCATTTGAGCATTCCAGAGACTGAAGCTGGAAAAACACGCCGGCAATATCGGCAACTTCTAAACCGTTCGCTAATGGTTGTCTCTGGTGAGTTGCATGCACCCTTGTGTTTGTGAATGGTTGAATTAACATCATACTGAACATTGAACTATGAGACTACAGGTGCAATCGATTAGAAATCTACATGTCTGCTGATGCTAATATATAGTTTCCTAAATATTCAGTCAATGTGAAAGTTGTATGAGGTCTGACTTATGCTGATACTGCACTAATAATTTGCAGTTGGAGCTGCTGTTGCAGTTGTTGGATTAGCTGCTTACCGGGTTTATGCAGCTCGGAAGAACTCGTCCTCTTGAAGCCCTCCTGGACAAGTGGGGAAATAAGGTGCTTCCTTCCTGCAGATCACTTTGCAACATCAGCTGGATCCATGCTGGTTGAGGTTCTCCGCTTGGGCTTTTACCCGGCAGGAAACCAACGTTTTTGTACAGACATGTCATCAGATATAAATTGTTCGGCCTATTGGGGTTTCAGATTCTATATAATTGACAGACATCACCTGGCTCCATAAAATGGCGTATCTGATATCGGTTGTGGCTAAATTAGCTCAGCTAAATATTGCTACTACCCTAAATTTTTGCTCTCATGTGGTACTTGCACTAGTCTGGTATTGGAATTTCTTTTCATTATCATTAGCAAAACATGCTGAGACATTTAGTTGAACAAGCATGAGTTGGTGTTGTACCAAGATTTTTTTTGGGAGTATTCAATTGAATTTTTTAAGCGTAGTATTCTATTGGATTTGATCGAAGTGCACGCTAGCTCGCGAGCTCCGTTCGTGTTGTTTCGTTATATACGCCGCCACTGATCTCCTTTCGTGTTATATACACTGCTAGAGGCCTCATGCATACGTTATGCTTGTATTTGTATGGATATACTGGTATATGGATATGGATATGGATATGTACCATGCAGTCACTGCTGCTTTGCGGTAGCCGGTAGGACAACTCAGTATAGAAATATACTCCTTCCCGTTCACAAATAATTGATGTTATTAGCACGGTCCTTAAAACACAGCTTTGATCACTATTTTTTAAAGAGAGTTACTAAAATTCAGGTGTCTGAATTTAAGCGTCCTTTTAGTCGTCGGTTGTTGTATATATATATTCTATGTATGTTCAAATTTTAGCTTGACCTTTGTAATTTCTGTGCAATTTTGGATCCGGGAATAAAAAACCTGGTAGACAAAACTACAAACAAGATAAAATCTAATATACGTTGTACAAAGATAATTAACGATTTAATTTTTTTTCTAATAGTTAGACAAGGATAAAAAATTAATATATTGTAACACAAAGACTATTAACAAATTATAGACAAATCAGAAGAGAACAAATACAAAGTGGTTGTGCCACACGGCCAACAAGTCGCCTGAAGTAACTCAAATTTTGACGCTTAGGAAAAGTGTTTTTTTTTCAGCGAGAATATATAAAAAAGAGTCCATCCTAAAAAAAATTATCTTTATTATATATGAATATAATAAAAATGGTTATGCTACAAATATAAATGCTCCTAATGTTATTTGTAATAAAAATAAAAGCATTTGTAAAACAGGTGGGGTAGTTAAGATCACTTATCGTAGCGTGAGGAAGCAGAGTGGTTGCGATTACGACGAAAAAAAAATGGCCGCAGGTCCGGTGCTGATGGTCCTCGGAGGAGAAGAAACCTCAGACGATCAGCGCCAGGTCGTTTATCGAGTAAAGTTAGATTTTGGTGTTTGATTCTGATAGCATTTCGCATGGTTTTACGTCCATGTGTCAAAATGAATCTATATTACTTCATGGCTTGTTTTTATATTAATAATCTTACAGAAAGTTACATCGACGGGAGGATAAACACAACTGGATATGGCCAGCTTTACACGATCTGAGCATGGCATGGGGACGGCACATACTCACTAGTCACTACGACAAAATGAAAGATCGGTCAGCGCCACGCCATGCTCAGAACACGGTCTGAAATAAACTGATCAAAATAATGCACAGAAATATACAGCTGCATCTCCAGCCTTACACAGAAATACTAGACACAGACACACAGTGGAGAGGGAGAGAGAATCCAGGAGACATGATGGAGGGAGGCACCGGTCGCTAGCTAGAAAGAGATGGAGGAGACGCACGCGCAGTCGGCAGTCGCAGACAGCAGGATCATCCATGAGGGCGGGCATCAGGCGAAGTGCAAGGGGCCGATCTCGCCGGTCCGGGCGGTGCGGGCGACGGCGGCGGCGGCGGAGAGGCACGCCGACACCCAGGCCTCGAGCACCACGAACACCATGTCGACGACGAACACGGTCAGCGCCAATGGCATTGACATCCTGCCCGCCCTGCCGGTGCCGGACCCTGGCAGCGCAGCTCGATCGTTTACGTGGCCTGGGAGGCAACCGATCGCCGGAAACACCTGCCGCTAGCTAGCTGCCGTGCATGGACCAACAAGATAATGGTGGACCGGGGTCCGGGGGCGGGGAGCTCACGAGTTTCGCGAGGGTGGACGGATGGGTAGCTTGGGAAAAAGATCGTCCGACGAGGCACGTCGTGGCAGTCGCTATGCTGGACGATCCCCGATGGGACGGTATTTATTGAAGAAAACGAGATCACCGCGTATATTTAATTTATGTATATCAAGTCATTGGTGTTGTCATGTGCTTCTTCTGTAAAAATAAAAAATAAAAATAAAACTTGGCCCTATTCAGCTTCTTTTTTTTTAAACAATTATTTTTTCTCCTGAATAATTTAAATTAAAACAGATTTTTTCAAATGTTTTTCAATGCAAGTTTTAGACCAAATGAATCGGAGCCATTCAGAACTATTTTCCAGCCATAGAACAGTGTTTTTCTCTCACAATATTTTAGCATAAACATTAACATAAGCCAAATTTCACCATCGGCGTACAAGATGAATAAATGCAATTCCCACCTCTCGAGACGTTAATCTTGAGACGGTGCATGAGCCCATTAGTAGATGTACAGTTTGCAAGAAAGCATGCTTCGTCTGGATAGCTCTCTAGATGGACTGTTTATATACATACTGACGAGTACGCATAATAAACCTTTATATACCAGACCTGAATTGTGACACACCGCATCTCCATTTGATGTCTGTGCGTATTCCTGCGCCGATTTTATGCGGCGAGACCGAACGTGCGCCATATCCAAATCATCCATGATCCATCCATCCACCAGCTTTGACGTGATGAAGAACAAAATAAATCCACCATTGCTATTGCTTTGTGATGACTCCGCCGCCGCTCGTCCCCCCTGCCGCGCCCACACCACAGGCAGACGTGGAGGAGGAACGAAACCAGCTGCGTTCCTTGCTCCGATCCGATCCTTTTGCATTGCACCGTCGCACTCTCATTAATTTCTCCTCCAACCCATCAGAATCAGAATATTAATCTCAGATCCATGATTGATCGAGAAAAAGAAAAATCTGAGATCCATGGTGCGCATCATCGATCCAATAATCCAGCTGCTCCTGTCTCTTGACGTGATGGACAAAAATGGTCCAGGTGGATTTTATGAGACTGCTGCCGGCCCGGCCCCCACTACATTCGGTAACCCGGGAGGTTAAACGGCCCGTGCCCGTGCCGGTAAACCCAAACCGGGCTGCCACTACGGCCCATGCACGGCATGCGTCACAAGGCCGTGCCGGTACGGGTCTGATGCTAGACGGGCCACGCCAATGTTACGGGCTTGGGCTGCCTATGTGTCCCGTCTATAATCCAAGGTCTGCTGTCTAATCTAAAATAAATACTCCATTCATTTCATAAAAAAAAAATACTCCATCGGTTCATCAAATTACAGGACGTTATGACTTTTCTAAATACGTTGATTTCATTATATATCTAGAAAATAGTGTAATTCTAAAAAATACATAACAAAGTTACGTATTTAAAAAAGTCATAACGTCTTATGATTAGGAACCAAGGAAGTAAATAGTATCAATCTTACTAGCATCCGGTTGTTTGAAATTTGGTAGGCATAGGTCATAAACCTTATTTGGCATTTGGTCTTCAGTTTCATCAAGATTTAAACAGGTGTGCATTTATTTCTTTCCATATATATGCTGGAACAAAGGCTGTTGCCCTCAACGAATCTGAATGGTGACATCTTTCCCGAGATGGAGTCCGATTTTCAGAATGGAGGCCTATAAAAGGTAGAATTTGGTCAATATGACACCACGGTCTAGAAATAGTCAGGAGTATTTAGCTCTAATAATCATGGACACAATAGAGTAGGACTCATTGATAATGATCCCGTTCGCTGGTCTGAAACTGGCTAAAAAACACTGTTCCGGCTGAATTGTTGTGAGAGAAAAACACCGTTTCGGCTAAAAAAAGAAGTCGAACAAGCCGAATATGGGATAAGCCGAATATGGCCAATAAGGCACAGAGCCGTGTTTGTTGACTAGATTCGATTCGGGAGTCCTAGACCACCTTCCATTTTCGGCTTGCAAATGGAATCCCAATAACCCTTTTTTTTTACATGAATTCCAAGAACCTTGTGTATGGGCATTTTCTGCTTGTTTTGTTTTGGACACCTTGCCGCTAAAGGTACCAATGGTCAATGCGATTGTTTTTTATAGAAGTTCCCAGTTAAAAATTTGTTATTAGCCATATAGGAGTAATATAGATAGGAACGGAAGCAAATACAGATAAGTGTAAGCCTGCTAGCATGATTGAAAGTATTAGATTGTGTACGCGTAAAGCATCGATTTGCATTTTTGATAAATGAAATTGTAAGCCTTACTTTTGTCTAAACAAACGTTGCCATGCACATTTCATGACTAAAGGGCGACCTAGTTGTTGAGCCCTGACGTAGCACAAAAAAAGAGTGGATAATATAATGAACTATTTGCGCCTGCTAAAGACCAGCTTTTCTATAAATGGTTAAGTCATCATAAAAAAGACCACAAAGGTTTCGAGAACATCCGAGCCAAAAGTAGTAACCCATACGGCAGTTGTCGTGTCCATAACTTCCTTGGAGATAACTCATTAATAACAACGACAAAAAGTACGGCGAAAGCAGACACCATTGCTTGATTCCTTCAGAAGCCTGAATATATCCTTACGGCTGATTTCCCGTTGACATTAATTGAAATGATGTAGCGGAGATAACTTTTATAAAATAACCATAATACCCTTTACGCGGCAAAGCATATAGCTCAAATGATCACTCTATCCTATCTCAAGCTTTAGCTATCTCAAATTTTGCCATGAAAGCTTTCTAGCAAGCTTGCACTCGTGTAGCTTTGTTTTACATAGGTGCATGACATTGGTTCAATGGCGGATCTAGGCTTTAGCTGTGGGGCCACTGGCCCCATAGTTTTTGCTAAATAGGTTTATACCTATTATGAATTTTGCAATTATACGTTGATGATGACAACTGATTTAAAATCAACAAGTTTTGACCCCCACAGGTTTTCAATTCTAAATGCGTCGCTGCCTTGGATCAAACATGGCACTCACATGTTGGTCATGGATTTATACACATCAGATGAGTTTCTTAAACCCCTTAACGGCATTGATATTGTTTGAATTACTAAGAAGACCCGTGGTGTTTTATTAATACCTAAGATGACCCGTGCTAACGACCATTAGTGTGATTAATGTAGCTTGCTGTCTCATTGAAGAATTTCTAGAGAAATAAGCTTAAACAAGAGCTTCCTTATTACATTCATCAGTCTGAACGTACTTTCGTACATGAAAAAACACGAATAACATGATAATTGCACAAGAAACCATCGTGCCTTTTACGTTTTATTAGGTCTCATTTGAAATGTGAGTTTTTTTTCCTGGTTTGTGTTATTCTATAGTAAACTAATCACTAAAAAAATTATGTGGTTACTGTGAAATTTCTTCCAAAAACGAAAATTTCTTACGTTCCAAATGAACCTCGACTCGAACTGTATTCCGATGGCTTCAACCAGCGGCGCTGCGGCGGCACCGCGGCAACATACGACAGCGGTTCACGTTCGCTTATGCTGAAATTTAGCTTATGCGGCCAGCGTATCCGAGTGCCGACTGCCGAGGCACGTACCCCGATACCCGTCCATGTCCGAGGTCCGCGGCGTAGCCCGCATGGCGCAGACCCGCTTCCCGCGATGCCGCAACGCGCCACCCCTAACTGCCACGTGGCGGTCCTCGTCCCGCCACGAGCAATCCGCAGGCGCTGCATCTGTCGCCGGTCGAGGGTTTCCAGTGGGTGATGCCCACGGCGTCCGCCGCTCCCACCACCGACATCCCCGCAGCAGGATTGCGTCGTCCCGATCCCACCGCTTGGACGCACCGTCGCTCCCGCTGACTCCTGGGCCAGGGGGTGGACCAGATCCCCTTCTAGGTCCACGCGTCATTGACCCACCCATGTGGACGTGGACGTGGACGTGGATGTGGATGTGGTGGACGACGGCTGGACGCCTTTTCCACCGAAAACCAGCCCGGCGGTCCGGCGGGGAGGAATCCGGAATCCCCCCCTCCTCACGCACGCTCCTCGCCATCTTTAGCCTGGGCCCCACCTCCCGTGCCGTGTCCATTAAGCGGGACCGACCCGGCGCTCGCTGCCTCCTCGTCTTGTCGCTCCCAGCGCTCCGTTCCGTTTCATTCCACCGACCAGATCCACCCCGCCCGCCCAGCCATGCCGGCGCCGCCGCCGCCTCCGTCGCCGCTGCTGCCGCCGGCGGGGGAGCCGTTCCGCGTGTTCGTGGGGTACGACCCGCGTGAGCACGAGGCGTACGAGGTGTGCCGCCGCAGCCTGCTCCGCCGCTCGTCGATCCCGCTGGACGTGCGCCCGATCCGGCAGGCGGAGCTCCGCGCCGCGGGGCTCTACACCCGGGCGCGCGGCCCCACGGAGAGCACCGAGTTCTCTTTCACGCGCTTCCTCACCCCGTACCTCGCGGGCTACCGCGGCTGGGCGCTCTTCGTCGACTGCGACTTCCTCTACCTCGCCGACCTCGCCGAACTCCTCGCCGCCGCCGTTCCGCCCGGCTCCGGCGCCGACGCCGCCGACCGCATCGCCGTCGCCTGCGTCAAGCACGAGTACCAGCCCGCCGAGGCCACCAAGATGGACGGAGCCATCCAGACGGTGTACCCGCGCAAGAACTGGTCCTCCATGGTGCTCTACAACTGCGCCCACCCCAAGAACGTGGCCGCGCTCACCCCGGACGCCGTCAGCACCCAGACCGGCGCGTTCCTCCACCGCTTTGCCTGGCTCGACGACGACGAGATCGGGGAGGTGCCCTTCGCCTGGAACTTCCTCGTCGGCCACAACCGGGTCGACCCCGCCGACCCGGCCACGCGCCCCAGGGCCATCCACTACACCTCCGGCGGGCCGTGGTTCGAGCGCTACAGGGACTGCGAGTTCGCCGACCTCTGGCTCAAGGAAGCCGAGGAGCTCAGGGCCGAGAAGGACAAGCT